TTACTTTTGATATTTTCAGTAGATTTAGCTGACCATACATACAAAAAGAGATGGAAGTGGAAAATTGTGAATATGAGAGTGGATGTTTCTGTTTGTATTTCAACGTTGGGACACACAGCTGAGTGGCCCAGGCTGCTGGGATAGGATCAGTGAAGTCTAGAAGATGGACTGATGGATTAGGATGACTTTTTATCAATGCCTTTAAATGGTGTTAACACTGGAGACTGAACTAATTTAGGTAGTGTGGCCACTAGATGGCGTACATACACCGATGATCCAAGAGGAGGGACGCATCATGTTGTCCAGTCTGAGGCCCTGAATGAATAAACAAAGAGCACATGCTACGGGCAGCTGACTGATCGGCGAAGATAAACTCTCTGGGAAGTAATTAATCAGACAGAAGTGAGTTTGATCTTTATGCAAGTACTGCACTTAAATACAGCCTAAGAGTACCATAGGAGATGAGAGACTTTTCCACTCTTTAGTTAGAAATGCATTTAGCACATAAGTACATTATTACTCGATAACTGTTGAGTTGAAATACATACAATGTGATTTGGCATTTTAACTTCAAACAGTGCTGTTGCTGGTAAATGTGTTAAAAAAAAGGCTGCTTAAAGCATTCAGCTTACCTGTCTGTGTGTCTGTCAATCCATCTAGTTATTAAAAAACCTCAGTGTATTTAAACATAATTCTTCAGTGTTTATTGTTCTCCTGTTGTGTATGTTGGTGTTGGTGGTGATTGAAAAACAAATCTTTGGCTGCATTTCTGCCAAAGAGCCAGAAGCCAAACACCATCATGCATCAGTGCATCTCTCTTAAACAACAGTGGGAATGATGATCATTGATGTTTTTCTCCCAAAAGTTCCGGCAACTTTAATTTTCTCAGATCTAAACTGGATTCTAAAGTGGCTTGACTTCTTCTGATTATTGTCACAGACAGTCAACAAGCAGTGTGTTGTGTTTACAGCCGCAGGTTTTATAAAACACTGTGCTGTGCTTGTGTTTGGCTGATGCTGATGCTGCAGGTTCATTTTGGCCGCTGGTTGATCGAGGGCAGCCCCTATGTGATCCTGTTTGACATTGGCTCAGCCGCCTGGAACCTGGACCGCTGGAAGGGGGACCTGTGGCAGACCTGCAACATCGGCCTTCCCTACCATGACCGAGAGGCCAACGACGCGCTCATCCTGGGTTCCTTGATTGCCTGGTTCTTCAAAGAGGTCAGTACACAGCTCATCAGAGTCTCTACATTTTAAACCTCCTGTCTCCTGTTACCACTCGTGGCTGTAAATATGTGAACGTGCAGCTTTCAGCTAGTTACAATGAATCATAAGTGTAATTACACAGAGCTTGTTTCCAGCTCCAGCCTCATCTTTTGTTTTTCAGTTAACAGATAACCTTGGAGACAAGCCCAATGTCATTGCTCATTTCCACGAGTGGCAAGCAGGTCCTGGGCTTATTCTCTCTCGCTCCCGCAAGATTCCCATGGCAACAGTTTTTACAACACATGCCACCCTGTTGGGCAGATACCTCTGTGCTGGAAATGCTGACTTTTACAACAACCTAGACAAGGTAAGGGATGGGCAGGGCTGGCCCTGTTATAGACACACACATGCACATTAACACTATATATACATTTATATATTAAATGTGCGCAGAGGGGCTCAACGTCTCATAATATGTCCATAGCTAACCCACTGTACATCAAGCCAGCAATATCTATTATATTAGCAAAGAAATTCACACACACACCTGTGTCCCATGTAGACATACACATACAGCAGCTGTCAGATTTATTTACACTTTCAAAGGTTCAGTCCAAAAATTGTAGCCTTTTACAGCCACTTAGAGCATCGTTAGTAATGCTGAGTTGTGAGTGGAGGGGTCAGTGTGATGTTTGTAATTGGACTTGTGCTGCTCACCTCCTAAAGGTCAACGTGGAGCTAAAGGTTGCTTACTGGCTGAACGGATAATTGACAGGTGACCCTCAGCCTCAAAACAACGTCTAGAGGAACTTCACCTGTTCTGCTGATGGAATCATATCAATATGCATTTTCAGATTCATCAAAAGTGAGACAAGTTGCAACTAGTTTGGATAAACAAAGCAGGAACATCGAGTTAGCAAGTTGCTTTCAGTCCCAGCAGAAAACTTTCAACTGAAAAAAAATCAACTCATCTTAATCTGTTTAGTTCCATGTGACATGTATCATCTGTGATGCTACTTCTCATGCACTCAGCTGTCCTATACCCACATTTACATGCTAATTAAAGCAGAATATGTAATATGTACACACAAGTAACAAAAAAGTACTTCTTTAATCAGCTGCGAGCATAGCTCATCTGCACACTTTTTGAATGTCCTGTTGTTGTAATGTATAATTTGAATAAATCATAGATGGGTTCTAGGGACATGAAACAGGATAAAGTATGATACACCAAAGTCTTGAGTTTCTAACGACTTCTACAGCTCGTAACTTTCTATGATGGAATGACTGAATTGCATGTCTCCTAGTCTCAAAAACAATCATGCATTTAGGTTCTTTCATGAATTTATTATAGACCTTCTGGAACTTGAACTTGAGATATCAGTTTTGGTGGTGTAGACAGTTATGTTCGTCAATTTCTGCAGTGGCATGGCCTCTTAAATTGTGAGCTATTACCATTGACTACAGCTGCCGATTCCTGTGAGTGAATTCAAATGGATCCCATTTAGTACACTCATCAGACTCAGCCACTGGCACTGCAATGGGAAAGTCAAATGAGCTCAGCACAGACCTGAAAAAGCAGATCATTGACTTAAACAAGTCAGAAAAGTCACTTGGAGCCATTTTCAAATCAACTGTGCAATTGTTTGTACGTATAAAGTGCATGATGCAATTGTTTCACTACCAAAATCAGGAAAAAACAGACAAACTATCCCCTGTTCCTAAGAGACAATAGATCAGGATGTTCAAGGGTCAAAAAAAGAATCATCAAAAAGTATGTCTGCGATGAATTAGAAGCTGTCAGTATCCACAGTTGAATGTGTTACCACGCCATAGGCTGAGACGCTGCCATGCAAGAAAGAAGCAGCACCTTAATGGCTCAAATTAAGCTTGCTGCTGATGATACGGACAAAGAAAAGGTCTTGTATAGGAAAGTTTGGTGGTCCCATTAAACTGAACCGGCAATGTTTTGAGGAGAGAAGGTGAGGCCTTTGTTCCCAATAGATAAATCAGGCTAGAATTAAGGTTTTAGACTGGTCTGCCTCAAGTCCTGGCTTAAAATCTATCAAGACCCCATGGACTGTGCTGAAGAAACAAGTCTGTGTCAGAAGGCCAGTGAATTTAGTTGAACTGCACCAATTCTGTCAAAAGGAGCGATCAAAGACACAACCAGAAGCTTGCCTGAAGCTTGTGGATGGCTGAGAGAGCCAAGAGACATTTAACCAAATACCGGCGCTGTTAGTATGTTTTAGACCCAGCAGACCCAGTATTTCCAGAAGACTTATAATAAATCTATGAAAGAACCAAAACACGATTGTTTTTGTGACAAAGACGAATGTCTTTCAATTCCTCAGTTGGAGGAATCACTGGAAAGTCAAGACAGTCATGATATACATGGTCTTTATAAATGTAGGTAACTTTTATTCACAGCTGTACATCACTTAGAGGCAGGTGTCTGTCTTCATATGCAATTGTATTGCACTAATCTACTTCTCCACTGTCTCACTCATGTTGTAATATGTCACAGTAATGATACTTGAACCTGATATTGGCTTTCATAGGGCTCTGGGTGTGTTTCTCGTTATCTAATACTGTACACAAAGGATACAAATGTGGCCAGTTGAGAGCTCCTCATATAGCGAGCTGTCTTCATGTGGAAGCCAATTACCTGATGGATCTGGAAGCTGGTTGACAAACCAACCCCCTTCTCCTGACACACTCTTGTTTTCCATACATTCATAAAGACTCACACTCAACACTTGAACACGGAGAGAGGAAACCGTACAAATGAAACTGTGGCTCTATCAGCTTTAAAAGGCTTTTGTGAATTATTTCTACATTTAATTTTCAAGAATGAAAACTCATGTCATGATTGCTTCTTTGTCTGTATTTGTGTTTGTGTTTTATAGTTTGACATTGACAAGGAGGCAGGTGAGAGGCAGATCTACCATCGATACTGCCTGGAGAGAGCAGCGGTCCACTGCGCTCACGTCTTCACCACAGTCTCTCAGATCACTGCTGTGGAGGCCAAACACATGCTGCACAGAAAGCCAGGTGTAAATTCACTGCTCAACGCTGATACTGGATTGTTTCAACAGAAGTGTAGTTTTATTTAAGCATGTGATGATTGTTGATTGGTTGATCTGGCCGTCCATCAAACACAGGGCCAGAGATGAATCATTAACATTACTGGCCAGATTGATATGAACCATTGTATGACCACTCATCCCAAACCTTGTAAGCCTCTGAGTGTGAAGGCATTAAACTTCTCCTTTTGGTGTGTTGCTTTAGATGTCGTGACCCCAAACGGGCTCAATGTGAAGAAGTTCTCAGCTATGCATGAATTTCAGAACCTGCACTCCACCAGCAAGGCCCGCCTTCAGGAGTTCGTCAGAGGACACTTCTACGGGTAGGTGCGCTTGACTACTATTGTAGTTCTGATTCATTTCATGCAAGGTTACCCAATAGGCTATCCAATTTTAACTTTGTCATTACTGCAAAGGGCTGCTCACATTTTCAATGAAAGATCGCTAGATTTCTGTCATTTATCTATATTCATCTTCCTGGCAGTCATCTGGACTTCAACCTGGACAAAACCCTCTTCTTTTTCATTGCTGGACGGTATGAGTTCTCCAACAAGGGAGCTGATATTTTCCTTGAATCACTGTCCAGACTCAACTACCTGCTTCGGGTGAGGACCTCAGGCTCTATGCGTTTAGCAGTATTTTGCTGTATGCATCAAATGTGCCAAGTTACACAAACTACAAGAATTCCTTCATCTCCTGACAGGTCCACAAAAACGATATGACAGTGGTAGTTTTCTTCATCATGCCAGCGAAAACCAACAACTTCAACGTGGAGTCGCTGAAGGGGCAAGCAATACGGAAACAGCTCTGGTATGCCCTGATTGACTGACCGTTCATTTGAGTAGTTTGTACATGCAGTATGTGCACATTTTTCATCATATACTTTTATCTGACTTACACTCTAACCCACATTCACGTGTAGCAATAAAGCAGGCAATGATCAGCCATCCTTTGCACTCACATGCAAACCATTGAGCCAAAACATTATGACCAGAACAGTTCTAATGTGAGCAGTGAGCAGCTCCACCAGGAGGCTGTCCTCCCTGAAACACATCAGAGTGGAGGCAAAGCTGGATTGTGCTTTAACAAACCATGTGACTTTCAACAGAAGAACATAATTTATGTCCTGTTTCACATCAACATTGGTTTTACCTTACCTCTGATTAAGTACTGTTGCTGCTTAAAGCCGAACATTAACCAGAACACTGGCACTTGAGAGACCGATTATGAATGCTTTCTGTTCGGATGCGCAGTAACACACCACATTTTTTAAAGTACACCTTTCCTGTTTTAACATCACTGTTTTGAAATGTTCAGTGATTGCAGTTGAAGCACATGGATTTGTGTCAAGGGTTCCTCTCTAAAGGTTTGTTGCTCACAGGGATACAGCTCACACTGTGAAGGAGAAGTTTGGCAAAAAGCTGTACGATGCTCTGTTAAAGTAAGTATAAAGACCCTGCACGTCAGCCCACATGTTCTGATTTTGTTAAACGATAACATCAGTGTGGTGGTGTTTAAATGAGTACTGGTCCTCTGTGACCAGTGAAGACCAGGTTATATCTGTTGAGTGCTGTCTTTCCTCAGAGGGCAGATCCCTGACATGAACACCATTCTGGACAGAGACGACTTTACCATTATGAAGAGAGCCATTTACGCCACTCAGGTACTGGAGCTTTTTTCTGATCCATCTTCTGTTTTATCGCAGCACGGCATTGAAATACTCACATCATTGATAATAGTGATATATTAATGACACTGGTAATGTTTGAATTACCACAAAAATGTGCCAATGGATATCTGCAAGCCTCCATTAGCAACCTCCACTGAAGATGTTTGTATCACTAAGGCAGTCCTGCAAGTGCAGCATGGTGACATCCAAAGTGATGTAAAGGTCACATGACATATGACTGATTGAGGTTACATCATATTTGGTCATCATCTGTTTCAGATTTTGGACCAAATATACATGTGATAGTGTTCATACTGTTCTGAAAACAAAACAAAAAGTCTAAAGCAGGGGTGTCGACATCCGGTCCTCGAGGGCCGCAATCCTGCATGTTTTAGATGTCTCCCTCTTCCAACACACCTGATTCAAATGATCAGGATCGTTATCAGACTTCTGCAGAGCTTGATGATGAGCTGATCATTTGAATCAGGTGTGTTGGAAGAGGAACACATCTAAAACATGCAGGATTGAGGCCCTCGAGGACCGCAGTTCGACACCCCTGGTCTAAAGTATCTGCTGGACAGTTGGCAAGAAATATGGGCCTTAGGGAAGTGAGAAGTCCTGGAAACAGGGACGAGGGGACAGAGACACTCACTATGACCCTCTTTTTTTTGTTGACATTCTCTGTATCTAATAAAAAGTTGCCCATGCCATCCTGACATATGTATGTCCGTAAATAAAACAACATTGTAGGTGAGTGTACTGTACAGCAGAGAATACTACTCACTCCTCAGCTCTGTTTTTGTGAATGGATGTGGCATTTCCCCAGTGGTGATCAATGTGAGCAATGGCCCCTGCTGGAGATCAATTATAAAAGACATGAGGGGGATTCCCCCGAGTGAGAAACGTGAATCAACGTTGGAGTCGTAACCAAGCCGAGCGTGGGTAATTACCTTTCTTCATTCCAGACCGCAGGTCAATAGAGCGGCTGTGTCAGGGTGATGTATGTTAGAGCTCAGTGTTACAAGCAAAGTGCCTATAAAAAGCTCTTTCACAATTAAATGAATGTATGCCAATGTCGATATTTCAGTGGTTGGAAATGAAGTGCAAGTTGTATCGACTACAAGTGTGTGGGGAGTGATAGAACGGAGACTCTTGATTGGTGACTGGAAGAAGTGCTGCTGGGGTTATTTCTGTCTGTGCTGTTTTTCATGTGGAGCCCCCCCCCCCATTACCCCTCCACCCCACTTTTCAATTACAGTCTAGTTTATTTCTGTTATTAAGGGGCTGTTCACCCAACATTCAAAGAATAACCACTTCTTTTTTTTTTTTTTTATCTTTAGTGCTGTCTAGTCTCATTTTTTTACAACTGGACAATTAAAAGGTAATCAGAATGCGTAGTGGATGATTGCCTCCAGTACACTAGCTGCTGTTGGCTGACTGTTGATGGCAGGTTAAATAGATATTGATGTCACTATATTATCGTCATTTGTTTGCATAGATTAGGCAGTGGCTCCTGACCTTTCTTTTTCTTTTTTTTACTACATAGCATTTAGCTGGAGCAGATGAGCTCAATTCACAGTCATCAACACCACCTAAACTATCACGTTACATTCTGGCAACATGATGAGGACACAGATCAGGAAATATCCATGTTTATGTTTATATTGACAACAGTCCCGCTGAACATTTGTTACTGGTGTTATAACTGAACCCAGCTGCTTAAAAGAGTGTGTCCTGTGCAGGCAATGCATTATAGCTGGTAGTTTGTAGTTATTAGTGATGTGTTGTAATGTCACAACACACCCTGGGGCAGCTGCAGAGGTGCTCCTTGGGGTACATAGACCCCCTCTGTAAAACACTGAACTACAAAGCAGCAGGAACAGACATTAATGCTGTCTTTAAAATGAATTTAAAAAGTGTGGGTAACTATTTGATCAGATCAATTAAAGTTTCACACCATCAGACAGTTTTCTGTAAAAAGTAAAAAGAAACTGAGATGAACTTCTGAGACTAAGACAGTCCAGTTCAGTTCATTATATGATACTGATTTACAGCACAAGTCACACAGTAAAGAAATAACAAAAAATAAATAAATCTTATAGACAGAACACATCCAAAGATTCCTTTTGCAGGAAGAAAAAAACCCTTTTAACAGAAAGAAACCTTTGCTTGAACCATGCAAAGACCACAAAATGGTAAATGGTCTGGAGCGCTTTTATCCAAATCTCTTTACAATGTGTTTCTCATTCACCCATTCATTCACACATTCATACACCAGTGGTGACAGAGCTGCCATGCAAGCTGCTGCCTGCCATTGGGAGCAACTTCAGGTTCAGTGCCTTGCCCAAGGACACTTCAACTGTGGAGGGGATCGAACCGTCAACCTTGCGCTCTACCATCTGAGCCACAGCCGCCCAAAATGCATGTAGAGAAACTCTACAGGTCCAAAGTTTTCTCTGGATTACACAGCAACAGTGGGGAGAAAAACCTAGAAGGAAAACAAAAAACCTTCAGCAGAACCCGGGTCAGGGAGGGTGGTCGTCTGCCTTGACTGGTTAGGGTGAGGCTAAAGGCATGACAGTAAAGGGCAGCAGAGAGAAAACTGACTAATACGTAAGAGGACAATCAACACTGAGGAAGATGGTGACTTCAGTAAGTTTAGACACAAGGGTGAGCTAGCACTGGCTAACAGCTAAAGGCCACAACTTTAAACCTCATCCTAAAAGTAGAGTACAGTGTTTCCTGAATCCAATCTAGGAACTGGGTCCACAGGACAAGAGCCTGATAGCTGGAGCTCTGCCTTCCATTCTGCTCTTGGAAATTCTATTAACCACAAGTAACTGTGTGGTCTGAGAGTGAAGGGCTGATAATATACAATAAGGTCTTTAAGATAAGATGGAGCTGGTCACTGAAGGTTTTGTATGGGAGGAGAAAGATCTTTAATTCTATCCTGGATTTTACAGGGAGTCAGTGAAGAGAAGCTCATACAGTTACTGGTTCCTGTTAGAACTATGGCTGTAGCACTTTGCTTCAGTTCAATGTTTTTCAGAGACTCATTGGGACATCCAATATATCCAGTATAGGGAGTTAAAATTGTCCAATCTAGAAGTAACAAAAGCACCTTCACCAGTTCTTCAGCATCACTCTGGGACAGGATTTTGACAAGGTGCATAATGGAGGGTCGTCATAAAGACTTATTTTATGTGTGGTTTAAAGAACATATCCTGATCAAACATAAGTCCAAGGTTCCTTAAACTAACGCTGAAAGCCAAGGCGATGCCATCTGAAGTCAGTGCTTTCCAGATATCTTAAATTCGTGCTGCCTTTGACATTTCTGCCAGTTGTGCACTAGCAATGAAAGACATCTCGGTGTAACATCTGAACTGATTAATTAGAGGTGGACCACTGCCACTGCTTTCCATACGTCATGAATCTAAGTTTCTCAGGAACCTTGGTATGAATTCACACTTCCTTTCAAGTCCTTTGGCTGGTTGTGTTTGTTATCATGTACTGTTGGGAGACAGTAATCAGATATCATTAGACCAAGCTTTAAATACAGATCAATACTTGTCAGAATCACACTCTGAAAGGTTACGAGTCATGGACCACTGAGTCAAACACCCACCATTCACGTTTATAGCAATTCAGTTGACTTTCTCTCCTCAGAGTGTCCATACATACAGTCAGAGGACCTTTGGTGCTTCACTGGAGAAACATGAACTCTGTCCAGCGCTGTTTGCATTACGTACAGGTTGATTCATTGACTAACATTGTTATTGTCATGGAAGTGCAGCAATATGATCATAGTCTGCAAAGAAAAGATCCATTTAAAAGTACTCTCATAAATAAGTAGTAATTGTTTCACTTTGTCCAAAACTTTCATCATGAATGCAGGTTTGGAAAACAGAGACGCTGACATCAGCAGAAACTAGAGATCAAGCTAACCGGTCCCTCCCTCTGGCTTCTCACTTATACAGTGTGTTTTACTCTCTTAATAACATGCTGCAGAGACACAGCCTGCCTCCAGTGACCACTCACAACATGCTGGACGACTCCACAGATCCCATCCTGTCCAACGTCAGACGCATTGGTCTCTTCAACTCCAGGAACGACCGTGTCAAGGTATATGAGGCAGTTCAGATTGTGTGTTCCTGGTGACTGATCTGTTGGTGGATTATCTATACACCACTTAATCCTCACTAGGGTGGTGGGGGGCTGGAGTCTATCCCAGCTGACTCAGGGTGAAGGCAGGTTCACCTGGACAGGTCGGACAATTTACAGTCACCAATTAACCTCAGTACAAAGACCCCAATGAAGAACAAAAGAAGGACCGCCACCACCTCGCCCGGAAAAGGGAAACCGGGGCACCCCCCTGGAGTCAGGGCCGGGGGGGGAGCTCGCCGGAGAGCGTCTGGTGGCCGAGCCTTGGGGCCCCGTGGGGCTCGGTCGGGCACAGCCTGAAGAAGCTACATGGGGCCACTTTCCCGAGGACCCACCACCCTCGGGGAAGAGGATCGGGGTCGGGTGCTATGCCCACCGGGTGGGAGGCGGGAGCGGGCATCCTGGCGTACCGCCCCCTGGTGGCGTAGACTAGCTCTGGGGACATGGAGTGATGTGAAAATGGAGCGTGAGATGGACAGGCGGCTCGGTGCAGCGTCAGCAGTAATGCGGGCGCTGTACCGGACCGTCATGGTGAAGAGAGAGCTGAGCCGTAAGGCAAAGCTCTCAATTTACCATCCGTCTACGTCCCAACCCTCACCTATGGTCACGAGCTTTGGGTCGTGACCGAAAGAACGAGATCACGGATACAAGCGGCCGAAATGAGTTTCCTCCGCAGGGTGTCTGGGCTCAGCCTTAGAGATAGGGTGAGGAGCTCGGACATCCGGAGGGAGCTTGGAGTAGAGCTGCTGCTCCTTCGCGTCGAAAGGAGCCAGTTGAGGTGGTTTGGACTTCTGGTTCGGATGCCCCCAGGGAGGCTTCCTCTGGAGGTTTTCCGAACTCGTCCACCTGGGAGGAGACCCTGGGGCAGACCCAGGACCCGCTGGAGAGATTATATCTCTCGGCTGGCCTGGGAACGCCTCGGGATCCCCCAGACAGAGCTGGACCGGTGACCTTCTAGCTGCGAGGCAACAGTGCTAACCACTGAGACACCTTACAGCCCGATTTGACAACTAATTCATGAGAAAATATTTACCAAATTCATACAATGAACACAATATAGTAGGTATTTCACTTAAGCATGAAACTATTTAAATGACGCTTACTTCTTATGACTGTATATTTTTGTTACATGTTCTGAATATATTTATATTTTAAATATTTTAAAAATATTTGAAATCTTTTAAAAACATATTAAATTCTAAAAAAGCGAGAATGTACTCAGTTAACTCCACAGAGTTTGAAATATGTACAATCAAACTTTTTGCGCTGAAGATGGCAGTAAAGAAAAGGTCAGGAGGTCATCACATTTTGCAGGGTTCATGAGCTGATGTCCATGAAAATCGAAATGTTTGCAGAAGCCAGCGGCACTAAAATGTTTCGTACAAAGTTGACCATTATTGTGTGTCAGTAGATGGTCAAGGGTCAAGCTCCATCCTCTGAAAACAATCAATATCCACATCCAAATCTTTGGTCATAAAATGTGTGTGATAAAGTCCACCCTGCTGATTGAATACATGGCAACATCTGTGTCTCCTTGTCTGTGTGTCCTCAAAGATCATCTTCCACCCTGAGTTCCTGTCCTCCACCAGTCCTCTGCTGCCCATGGACTATGAGGACTTTGTCCGTGGCTGTAACCTCGGAGTGTTCCCTTCCTACTATGAACCATGGGGGTACACACCTGGTAAGCCTTTGACCAGGACACTGTAGACTGTAATATAGAAGCATGCATGTCTCTACACACTCAAGTGTTTCATGTTCCTGCTATGCAGAAGCACTGCAGTTACTACACAAATTGCAAGAGTTGGTTTATTACATGCAACTTTTGCAATAATGGAGTTTGTGTAAATTGCAGCAGACATTCTGTATACTCAGTGCACATTGTGCTCTAAAGACATGTATGCATGCTTACAGACATGGACATCCCATGCAATGTTTGTAATAAAGCAGCATATGTGAGTGTATAAGGTCTGTAAGCCAGGTCAGGCATGCTCACTGCAGCATTCTGTATATCCATTACACCTTTTGCAATAAAGTCAATGCTGCAGGTTCACTGCTCCTTAAAAATAAACTGTAAACACTGTTGTAATAGTTACTTTTGCAATACTGTATCCAAATGTCCACAGATACTTTATTTGATTTTTGAATCACAAGTGCAGAATGGGAAGCTGTCATTCAGAAGCTAACACAGTCATAGTGTTCATCCACACTACATGCATTTTCAGAGTGCTCTCCTGTAGTGACGACGGTCAATGTAGTTCAACAGAAAAGGGATTCATGTTAGTCCTATAGTCAATAATCATTGCTGGTGTCTAATTACAGAGCGATACAGAAAATTACAAACTATTACAAAACTATTGTTGCTTCATGTGCTGCCAAAACTACGTTGTTCATGCCCATAACTGACCGAGTCATAGAGTCTACAAAGACCTCTGACGGTGTTAAATGGTCCAGGTACATAGATGCTGGCAGCAGATTCACTTCTTGTGCTGACCATAGCTGATCTGCAGCACCCCACAAGTCCTTCCCGTCAGTCAGGCTCTCACACAGTCGTCTGGCTGGAATGATTTGGCCCTTTTAAGAATGGTTCAGGTCTTTACACCTGCTCATTTCTTCCACGTTCTCTACGTCCACCGTTGCTATTTTCTCAGATGTGTTCTATGTTCCTGTGTTCTCCAGGTGAGTGCAGTGTCATGGGCATTCCCAGCGTCACCACAAACCTGTCAGGTTTTGGCTGCTTCATGGAGGAGCACGTCTCAGACCCTGCTGCCTACGGTACACACACACACACACACACACACACATCCACGCACTTTGAGGAATTATGTGTTGATCCGTAGGCAGCGTTTATGTTTCCTTCTCCTGCTCCTCTCTCTGTCAGGTATTTACATTGTGGACCGGCGGTTCCGTTCAGCTGAGGAATCCTGCAACCAGCTGACCCAGTTCATGTTTAGTTTCTGCCAGCAGTCTCGGCGTCAGCGTATAATCCAGCGGAACCGCACTGAGAGGCTGTCTGACCTGCTTGACTGGAGATACCTGGGACGGGTCTGTTTCTGTTGCTGTGTTTCTGGATAGTTCTTTGATAAGAGGGACAAAAGGACATGTTCCGTCTACGGCTGCCCTACATCCTGGTTCATTCCCCAAAATGATAAACATAACAATAATCAACAAAGCATTAGGAGTAAATCAGCTGTGGTAGACATCAGCCTCGTTTAGGGTCCATCTGAACTGGATGGTCAGTGTCAGACTTTCTGTGTCTGCTGGTACATAGCAGGATGCATTTCACACTCTCCCCCTATTAGGGATGGACTGATACCTCTTTTTGATTTCCGATACGATACTTCAACTTTGAGTATCTGCCGATACCGATACCGATACCGATACCGATACCATCTCTCCTCCTAACCTTCTTTGGAAATACCTTATTTGCATGGATACATTTGTTTAAGATGCTTTATCCAAAGCCTCATACTATTAAAGCACAGAGTTTGCTTTTCTAAGAAAGGAAAAAACAGCCAAAAGCACGTCTCACAGTGAAACTGTAGCTGCTTTATCTGAGCTGCAGTCAGACTACAGTGTGCACTCAGAGCCATTCAAATATTTAGAACAGATCACAATGACACAGCAACATTAAGCTGCAATTTAAAGGTTCAATTACCAAAACTTGGTATTAAATAATAGTACCACTAATAGCCGCTCTCGGCTCTGCGCATGAGCAGTAGTAAATGAGGCCGGAAACGTTGTGACGTGCTGCGGGATGGGATCCAATAGGAAGGTTGTGTGTGCAGAGCCGGAGAGCCCCGTACAGGCTGCTGGTAGAGGGCTGCACGGAGAGGCTGGACTCGTCTGCTACGGCCGGATAGGTGCACGGCTTCTAGTTCGGGTGCGCGACGTAGTTTTAAAGGGTGATTTCACTCAAAATATACTTCCAATTTTTAAAAATAAATATTTAAGAAAGGTATTTTTAACCCCTTACCGCTCCTACGTCCCGTCGGCAGATGTGCTCGCTCCACAATCACGTTTCCCGACAACATACACATCAAATGAAAGCTCAGAATCTCCTCTTTCCGATGATATAAACCTTTTTGACCTGCAGCAACCACAGCGTTGACACAAAGAGCTTTTTGTGCAGAAAAGCAAAATGTTAAAATCTGAGTTTTCTTACTTTTGAAGGCTCTCTGCAGCTCAAACATCGCTCATTCCTCACCAGCTTGGTCTCATTCTGTCCGGACACAACCAGTCAACATCATCCCGTAAAATACTTCGTAAAACGTATTAGATCCTCAAAGGCACAAACTCTGCAGTAATGTCTTCCCAGCTTGAGATCAGCTCCGGCTGTTTTATTCATTTCTTCTGGCAAAATCAGCCTGAATCTATTTCAGATCACGCTGAAAGCGCTACAGGCAGCTAGACGGACGTCTCAGCTTTTGATTGACACCTAGTTTGGCCAATAGGAGGGCTTTGTGGGTGAGTGACAGCCTGAAGGGCCAATGCAGTGTCTCAGACAGTCAACCCGGTACGGACAAGTCCCACCCTTGTAGATTCAACCAGTCGGGTTGCAGACACTCTCTGACGCTGTAAACTTGTAGCCAATGAGCAGACGAACACGTGGATGTGTCGGAAGGCAGGATTGTGTGTGTGTGTGTGGCGGTATCGGATTGGCCAGTTACCACTGTGAAGTAAATCATCCCAGACCGTAATTTCGTCCAGTATCGGCCCGATACCGATACCCAGTATCGGATCGGCGCATCTCTACCCCCTATAGTCTGTGTGCACCCGACACATACAGCACAAAATCTGTGTCTGTACAGCGACTCCTCTACAAGGGCAATAGCATGTATACTGGGCAGTAGTGCATGTGCAGAATATGTAGACATGATCCAGTGCACGCGTATGAATCATAATTCCTAAAAAGCTCCTGATCAGTGAACCAATCATATATCATATGGAGCGGGACACATCACCCTGCTTACCCCAAAAATGTAGGAAAGGTTAAGTGAAAGTGTGATTTGTTAACCTAAACCTTGATGTCTTCTTAACCTGGCAAAGTCATTTCAGATCCCACATGGAACATGGACCCCAGCCTTTCCTACTGCGTGTCTTTCTGTTTGCCCTGTGATGGACCTCTAGAACATCGTCAGCTCAAATAGAATAAAATGGTTGCAGCTAGTGGATAGATGGATGGGTGGAAGCGTCTGATGTCTCACATGGTCAAGATTCTTTTAGGTCCTTCTGGCAATAGGAACAGGAAGTCTTCATTGGTGTGGTAGACCATGTCGCTGATCTTTCCCTCATAAAGCGTAGCGCAGTGCTGCACTGCCTTTGAAACAAATCTCAAACAAAAAAGAAAACATGCAGGATATTCTGTTAAACATGGTTTAATGTGCATCTCTCCTGACTTGTGATTGACAGTTCTACGTCCACGCCCGTCATCTGGCCCTGAGCAGAGCTTTTCCTGAAAAGTTCAAGACCGACCCCATGGCCCCTCTGAAGGTGAGAAATGCTGTACGAGGGATTGTAGTCATTATTGCTAATTGCTGCATTTACTAAAGGAATAGTAAAGGGATCTGTGGATGTGAGGGTTGTACACTATCCCCTCCTACGTGAGCTCCCCTTTAACAGAGTGCTGAGTTGTGCGACAACACCATCACAAATTAGTTCACAGTGAAACACTGTCTGTTGCATCGTCTTCTCTAACAGCACATCCATGTACATGAGAATCCTTCCCATGACACACACGGTTCCTGCTGTTTACACACATTTGTCAGGCTTTAATTGACAGTCTAACATTTGGGTAAAGGACAAGACATCATCAGGGAATGTGCAGGTGTCAATCCTCCTTTTGCTCTTCTTCCTCTGGTTCAATTTCTGATGGATGCACACAGGTTTGGTCCAAATGTGATGCAAAAATGCTTCAAAGTTGCAATGAGATAAAATTTTAGTTGGTTCATTACCGTGACTTCATAAAGGAGAGCTGTTCTATAGTTTAAAAAGGGAAAGCAGGAGGAGGGAAAGACAAGAAAAAGGTGAAAGAGAGTGAGTAAAACCAGAAAAGAGGAAGTGAAAAGGAAACGCAAGAGAGGGAAAAGGGAAAGATGGGGGGTGGAGAAAACAATACAGGAGAGAAAAGGAGAAAGGAACGACAGAAAAGACCCGTCCAGGCTGCTGCTGCTGGTGTCATGATGTCGGACATGTTTGTGGCACATTCTGGATAACTTAGTAACAACAGTCGTGGTTTAAATGCCACAGCCTGTGTGAGTATTGCTGTTAAATAATGTGCCACAGTTTACCTTCTAATGGCTGCTTCCAACAGAATAATGTTCCATGTCGCAAAGTAAAACTCAAACTGGTCTCATGAGCACAACAGTGAGTTCAGTCAGCTTCAGAGGCCCGTTTGGATGCAGCAGAACTGGAGACTGGCAGCATGAGTGAGGAGGAAGGTAGAAAACCGTATGGCACACATTGGGTAAAATCAAGTTCTTTGCTTGTTAATATATGATGTGTTTTACTTGCTACCAGATAAATCCTGAGGTAAGGCAGCAGTCAGCACCATGGCTGAGTCGAACCTGCAGTGTACCAACCACAGCTTCAGGCTTTCATATGTGACAAACCTGAAAACCAGTCTGTCATCTCTCAGGACGACGCTTTCTGTGTCGTTGTTCTTTCCTTTTCAAACATGCTTGTCTCATTTTCTCCAGCGTTAGAACCTGTCGTTGTGCTGTGTAGAGTGGATGGACAGTGTTTTATCAGTGTGTAGGATGGAGAGAGACAAAGGGAACTTCACACATCTTCATATTCTAGAGGAATCAACAGTGTAGGGTTACACCTACACCATTTGAATTTCTATTTTTTCAGATTAGCTGAGCTCATGTTTAACACATTGAATATAATCCTGGATAACAAACACTGACATGCCATCACTGAGACTCTGTTGTGCCCACAGACGGAGGGTTTCCGGTACCCCCGGCCCTACTCAGTGCCCCCCTCTCCTTCTGCCTCCCTCCACTCCACCCCCCACCACAGCGACGTGGAGGATGATGATGATGATGAGCCCTATGATGAAGATGAGGAGGCTGAGAGGGACCGGCTGAACATCAAGGCACCTTTTGTGCTGGGAACCGTACCAGAGGGCAAGAAGAAGCAGCCGGGAGAGTCGGGAAACTGAAATCCACCAGGAGCTGCTGCAGCTTGTACCCCAGGTTTAGATGATCAGCCTGTGCTTCTGCTGGACACAAAAATCACGTCTGATTGGTCGATGCAGTCTACACTAGTGACAGAGATCACATGCCATGACCTTCTGTTCTTCCACTTGCTGCCAGGTCACCATGCAGTCCTTCACTTAATCACCTGAAAACAAGGTTTTTTGACCAAAGTTTGTCGATTTAAAACACTTTCAAAAGTGTGTTAAATGGATAGCATTGTTAGCTCACAGTAAATCCTTCCCAACTCCATCAACACGCTCCTGTGCTGCCTTAGAAACAGTTCACTGAACTAAATAATCAGGTTCAAGTAATTCCATGACTTCTGAAAATGTTAACTGAACATGAGAAACCGAGTCAACTAAACGGAAGATATAAAGGTGAATCTGTTACACACAGATCTGCTTTGCTTTTCAGTTGTTTCATGTTCAAGAGTCACTGTTGAGATTCTTCACTTGACATGATGGACTTAAAGAGACACAAACCCCTTCATACCAGAGTCAACCTATTGGCAGCATCCAACAGTGACTTTATTAAACTATGAGCGCTCAGAGGCAGCAGTTGAATTAAATACAGTAACCTTCATTGTTGCTCAAAATGCATTCTGAGAATTTTCTGATTTGAGTAAATTCTCAGCAGTGCACTCATTCAGTGCATGATTACCTGGCTTAATAATTGATACTTCTTTTTTTTTTTTCAGGATTATGAGAAAAATAATCTGCTGATTTTCAACAAATTCTTGAATGATGGTCTCGAGGGTACCGAGCTGGAATGTATGAGGGGTTCAGTGCCAAAACGAGCCAAACCACAAAAAATCAAAAATTGAGTTTTATGGGGGTTTTTTCAATAAGTGTTTATGGTCTACGAGTTCGTGGCAAAGTGGTCCAACCAACAGCCCACTACTAATATCACAACTGGACTTTTCAGTTTGGCCCTTAATGGTTTTGACATGAAAAGTTTGTGTCAAACTGGACCAAGACACAGGAGTCGCTGATCGTTACATCACAGGTGATTCAAGATGACAGACAAGGCAACCTCAGAAAACTCAACTCGTAGTTATGCTAATGTAAAATAAAAACTCAGTTAACCACCACCAAGCATCTGTTTCTACCCCATGGTCCTCAAAAGTATCTCTAGTTCCTAATGATGTCAACTCTTCAGTGCTGTTTAGCAAGACAAACCCTGAATCAGTGTTTTTCTCATAAAGTAAAAAATGTGGTACGGCCTTCTCTGGCGCTCAGCAAAACGAAAGGCAAAATTAAAACTTCTCGTAAGTCATCACAAAGTAGCTGCTTCTATCTCTGGACAGTGTTGAGACATGTTTGGATGCAGAAAACGACTCCTTGAAAAAACATGATTTTTTTTTTTAGCGGCAAAGTTTTGACTTCATTTTCCTCTAAAACTACTAAATGTGGTTTGGCCTAGTTTGGCTCCAACCCCCTCATATTACATTAACCAGGATAGCCTGCTACATATCCATGTCCTTGATCTCATGGAACGTAGACACCTGCTCCTCTGTGACTCAGTCTGATTGTGGTTTCACTGCTATATTCAACTCAACCAGACTGCAAGTATTTAGACATCCAGAATTTGATGTTGTGCGGGCTCTGTGCTTCAGTGCATTTAATCTAAAATAAAATACAGAATGCTACATCAAAGAGCCAAGTCTATTTGCTTTAATTTCATTATGCAGAGTGTGATCATAATGTTCAACGTGTCCTCAGTCCACAGCGTCCACAGCCGTCCGTGTGCACGTCCACAAGAAAGTACAGTTAAAGTCTGACTCCCCTTCTACCACTTATGAGTAAAATATTCACTCAGCCCTGTGCTTCTGTAAATATGAACCAAGATAGAAAGACCTGGTATCCACTCCAGAGGACACTAGAAAGTGTTTTGAAGTGGTTAGAATTACATTACATAACTAAAGTCTTACTAAATTGAAGTTAAAACTCTAATATTTGGTCTTGCATTGTTATAAAATGTGGAGGCTGCAATGCCCACCGTTTGGAAATGAAAGTCCATGGACTTCCTGATATTTGGCATCACTAGGAAGCCCAGGCTGTCTTCTCGATGCTACATAGAGCTCATAAATGGTGCCTGACGTAGGGATCTCCGATTCATGTCATGCACAAAGGACAAAATAAAGTGTTCGGTCTCAGCAGGTTGTGTTGACTCAGCAGGAATAACATCAAATGAGAAAAGCTATTCTAAAGGAGAATAAATGTTTGACAGCAATAGTGAATGCATGAGACTCTTATTATAGTTGATGTTGTCATCTGGAGCCTGAGTTCTGTGTTTTCTTTTACATAATTATATTGCAGAGTAAATTGTTTCAGAAGACGTACAAATTGATGCATAAAACTTAACTTAACCTCCTCCTGTGTTCTTGTCGCCAGCGACCTGTTTTTAAGTTTTAAGTGTATGAGAGAACCACAGAAATTTGTTTATTTCATTGATGCTTCTTAACTTTGTCAGGAACCTCTATTTCAACAAAACAAAACAAAAAAATGTGTTTTTACTAAATTTTAAAATGCTCTAGTTAAAATTGTTTCGTTTGTGGTGTTAGGGTCGGTTTCAACCCGGTTATAAAAATAAGATTATAAAGCAATAATTAGAGCCAAAACTGAAGTCATAAGTGCACCGTCAGCCAACACACTGACAGCCAGGCCCTCTACCAATCATGTGGGCTTTAGTTTATTCTCATTTTGCTTTTTTTCCCATGTACCTGCACAACAACAAAACAAAGACAGATATGTCCAGACATGTGAGATCAGTTCAATATAGAGTTGGTGACTTGCAGAGTGCACATCTCCAATGTGCAGAGAGCAAAAATGAGAAGAAGATTTTCATTGAGCCAAGTCCTGGATAATATTTTTGATGAAAATGAGGGAGAGGACACAGACCAGCACAACGACCTGGATGAGCAGGTGTCTGAGGAGGAGGACAATGTGGAGTATAGTCCAGAAGACACAGACACATCTGAGGAGTCTGATGAGGAGGTCACCAGTGGTGAAGCTGCTCCTGCTGAAAGATTCAAGTCCAAAAATGGTGAGATGTTGTGGAGCTCAGTACCTCATGATGTTCATGGCAGGGCAGCTGCTGCAAATGTCATCAAAATGACCGCTGGAACCACAAGGTTTGGTGTGATGAGAGTCAGTGACATCAAGACATGTTTTGAGCTGTTTATGCCATTGTCATTAAAAGAGTCATCATTGTTATGACAAACCTTGAAGGAGAAAAAGTCCATGGCTACATGTGGAAACACACTGATGAGGAATACCTGGATGCTTATATTGGTGTTCTTCTGCTGGAGTGCACAGATCCTGCAATGAAGCCACTGATCGTCTCTGGGACGCATCGACAGGCAGAAATATTGTCACTGCAGGCCTTCCAAATTATATGAAGAGTCAGAGATACCAGAGCAAGAAGAGACAAACTTGGCCCCATCAGGGATGTCTGGGAAAGATGGGTGAAGCTTCTTCTACTCATGTTCAACCCAGGGTCAGAGGTGACAGTGGAGGAGCGTCTTGTCCCTTTCAGAGGAAAATGCCCCTTCCGGGTATACACGCCCAGTAAGGCAGGAAAGTACGGCATAAAAATCTGCCTGTGATGCAAAAACCAGCTTTGCCTGGAATCTACAGATTTACACAGGCAAAGCTGCAAGTGGCATCCCTGAGAAAAACCAAGGAAACCATATGGTTCTAGATGTGACTACTGGACTGCAGGGTCACAATATCACTGGTGACAATTCTTTATCAGCTATGACCTTGGACGAGAACTTCTCAGGAGGAAACTTACCACCTATTGCTAAAAAAAAAGAACTTTTTTGCCTTTTTCTTGAAGTAAATATATAAGGGTCGAAATTAACCCATAACACCATAGATGTTACTATGGGTAAAAATATTAAATTAAAAAAAAAATGAACCAAATTTATTTAAGAGATGTGTTATAATATCCCTCAGTAATAATCAGGTAACACAACAACTTTTAGTTTATCTATATCATTCTCTTGAGGTTCACTTTACCATTTTTTAAATTTAAATCGAGGAGTATACTGACATAAAAAGAGGCCCACACCACAAATATTAAAACCAATGTTTTCATGGATATGAAAGCCTAACAAGGTCACCAAGAGATGAGAAAAGAAATTGAATGATAGAAAATTGTTTATAGTGTATTTTACAGCTGATTTAAGACACGGGTCAAAACCGACCCGTTAACACCGGGGATGGTACCAGAAAGCTAACACAGGAGGAAGGCTAACGAAAGTGCAGGAAATGAAATCCTCAGCATGTAATCTGACGACATCATGAGAGGATGAAGAGTGTGTGAAGCTGTGTGTCCAAACCATGAACTTTACATTCGGTCTTATTCCTCAAACCGTACAGAAAAATATTGTTTCACGACATGACAAATGAACACTGTTTGATTCGGACAGACTAAAATGTCACAGTTCTCCTGACGTCCTTTATTAACACATTTATCACCATGAAATCAGGATTGATTTGACACCAAACTACTGAAAGTTACACGTCACAGTCGTACTAAAACACCTTCAGTGTCTTGTCAAAAAAAGGCCAAAACCTCAGACAATCTCAGACCAATAGGGCTATGAATTCAACTCTTTTTATTAAAACATCACATTTCAAACTTTGCCAGAGAAGTCATATTTACAGAGAAGATGCTGTTGGACAGCTTCACAGACACTATCAGAAGTATTCTCTCTTCCACACCGGCAGCTCCTGGAAATACACCTCGTCTGGATTTTCATCGGCTAGAAGACAGAGAGAAGGAACACGAAGTCATGGAATTAAAGTAAGTCTTAAGAAAAACAAGCCAGAACAAAAACAATGAAATCTTTCATCAGAAGTTAAACCTCCTTTAAGGTTTGTAGATTAGAGGAAGGGATTTATGGTGTATACTAGGTATTTATGTTGATATGGTGTAGTAGTATTTGAATTTTATTTTATTTTAGATTGAAAGCAGACCTTTGTGATGCTATTTTAACCCTGAACCACGTCACATTTCCTTGAATTTTATTCTGAATGCTGAGCCCTGAGTTTGAGCGCATGGTGCTCCCACCTGTCACAAGTGTGTCTGTTTTCTCAAGGCCTTCAGAGAACATCGTGACAAGATGTTAACAGATAAGAATCAGTTATCCAGTATGACCAAGAGGGAAACATCTCACTGAGTTGTGGGTAAATGTCATCTGCACTTTTTAAAATCTCGTCTCTTTTAAACCTGTACCCAGAACTCCCCAGTTGTCTCTGTGTCCATCCGTCACATTGAGGACTAAAAGCCTAAGGCTCTAAGCTGAGGGTTATACATAACCTTCTGAAACCAAAACCTCTGGATGCTGCTCTCACCTCCCTCTCTGGCCTGCTGCAGGAAGTTAAGCAGGACGGTGGCGGCCTGGTCCACGCTCAGCTTCTCTGTGTTCTGACTGCGGGTCTCTGGCAGGGAAGAAACACCACACACATGCTATCAGACTGCTGAGTGGACCAAATCTGATTCCACTGTAGGAACCAGCCGCTACTGATGGAAAACTGTCTATCCATCCATCCATCCATCCATCCA